CTCCATCTATAAAATGGGAATAGCAGTGCCTAGGTCATAAGGCTGTTGTAAGATCATGTATAGCCAATATTTAACACACCGCGGGGCACATGGCACTGAGAAGGACAGGGGGAATAATGGATATTACGTGTGTGTGTGTGTGTGTGTTAGAAAATTGGTGGTGGTATACTGGAAAGGCTTTTTGATGCCAAGAGATTTAGCCCTTTTTTCTTACTCCAGAAGGAACAGAAAGAAGCCTGCAGTTTATTCTCATCACGAAACCACCCCTTTATCTCGTTGTTGTTCACACCACGCTGTTGCGGCAGCGCTTTTTTTTTTTTTTTTTTTTTCTTTCCCCTCAGCAGTGCCTTGAGTGCAGGTGTAGAGAAGTCAGGCCAACAGACTTCCCCACGTGACTCAGCACTTCTGCTGGGACTCTGCTTCCTCCAGCGGATCCAAACAGGAGAGTGATAAGGACTTGTGTCCAGGGAGCAGGGGGGCCTAGGCTCCTGGGGGTGTGCCCGACCCCTCCTTGGTGTCAGCGTGCGGGCTAGAAGGTTGGGCCACCCTCCCAGCCTGCCCATTAAACCCCCGAACCCAGGCATCAGCACAGCTGCAAAATCATCAGGTTCGGCATCTCTGGAGGGCTCTCTCTGTCCCCCACACTTCCTTGTCCCCACTGCACCCCACCCCATCCCATCACTTCAGTCGAGGAGGAGAGAGAGGATGGTTCATCCCTTTCAGTAGCAGAGCCAACCCCCACTCCCACCACCGAGCCGCTGCCATCCAGGGCTGTGGCAGGTCCAGTCAGAGGGCGCCAGGGGAGGGGATCCCCTCACGCACGCAAGACACACACACACACGTACTGTGTCTGCGAACAGGCCTGTGTGCCAACGCGATTTGCGTGCCTGGACTTGTTTACGAGGCCCAGGCATAATTGGCTTGCCTCGCTCCACACCTTGGTGCGCCCTCCCCACCTCCTCCTTCTCTTCCCCCTCCCACCGCCACTGCACCTCGAAAGAAATTAAAAATGTGACAACAAACTCCAGTTGTCAAACACCCACGGATCCCCACCAATCACGTGCTCCTGGCGCGGCGGAGCGGGGTGGGGCTGCGGCGTGGAGGAGTAATTGGTGAACCCGAGGTGAATGAAATAATTGGAAAAGTGAGGTGTGAGTTTGTTACTGAAGTGTGAGCATAGTGGGGGAGGGAAGGAGGGCCATGTTTAAAAGCCCCGTATGTCCTCTTTATTCACAGCTTCTGATACAGTAATTGCTATTTTGTGGTTTCTATTATCTACACAGTGGGGAGCATCCGTGTCTCCTTCCCAAGTGGTAGAGTCTGGGCTGGCGGGGGTTGCGGGGGGGGGGGTTGGTTCCTGGGTGCCCTGTCATCTTCCTCCCTCTCCGGTCCCTGGCGGCCCTGCCCAGCCATGCCCAGGCCTCTTCTCCTAGGAGACGCGCAGAACTTCCTGCAAAAGCCGCTCTTAAAAATGGCTCCGTGGGCTTTGCTGTCAGATGAGAACTTTAATAATGGCTGGTATTTATATATCACTTACCTCCAAGGAGCTAAAGGTACTTCATCGATTCCCCCGCCCCAACCTTTTTTACCTTTTTTTTTCTTTTTAATTCTCTTTTGATATCTCTCTGAGATCATTAGTATCGGCTTTATTTTCTCCCACACAGTAGTTACGCAAGCAACTGAAGCCATCCTTCCTGAGCTGGGAGGGAAAGCTCGCCTGAGTTTCGAGTCCCGGGCCGTGGGGCTTGGGCAGGTCACTTGGCCTCTTCAGCCCTTGGTTTTGTCATCTGTAAAAATAGGAGGCAGTGACTCTTACCCCACAATTGTTGTACCTAGAAACGGTATATTTAAAAGGCCTAGCACGCCACAGGCACTGTGTCATTGGCCACTGGGGTGACAGCCGCAGTGACGGTCTTGAAGCTCCAGCCATTCATTCCGGGGCTTCACGGGAATCGGGAAGTTCGTTCTAAGATCTAACCCTAATCTTCCAGCTGCTCTGGAAGCCCTCACTCTCTCGTGTCGTGAGGAATGGTGGGATTTTTTTAAGCTCCTAGGGTCTTGGGACACAGTATTTCCTTGGCCATGCAGATGTCTGTCTGGACACCCCAGACGGGCAGTGACCTCCCCCACGGCCCCCCAGCTCCCTGGTCCCCACCCTCATTCCCTCGTGGATCGAGGATGCCCCTCTGTCCTGGCTTTTCCCTGCCAAGCTCCCAAATGCCACTTCTCCAGGCCACGTGAGCATGGCTCCTTTAGCTTCTCTCATCAGCTTTTTTTCTCCACCTTTTAATTATTTTCCTCGCCTTTCTCCGGACCCTCAGCTGCTTACCATGCATAGAGCGTCCACAGCTTGCAGTGTGCTGCAGAGAGGGAGGAATTAACCTCACCAGTCTCTCCCTCTCTCGGTCTCTCTTGCCTACACATATGGGTGAGGTCCCCAGAAATGAGCCACGGCTAAGAAGAACTGGGCAGCATCAGGGGACGGGAAGTTAGAGCCCCTGTGGGCAGAGGCAGGGGGTTTGCACCCAGTGCAGGCAGGAGGGACTGGGTCTGAGTCGGCCTCCCTTGCCCTGGGATCTCGGGCAAGTCACTGGACCCCTCGGAGCCTGCACAGCGCAATCATAGCCATCCCCGTACACGGCCTTCCTTCTTCATTGCCAGACAGGGCCAAGCCTCAGAATGAAAGCCCCGCTCCGGAAAGTGGCTGGTCCCCTCCAGATAACTGAAGCGGGTGAAACATCGTGTAGCACAGAGAGCTCCTCCGGCTTCACATCAGACACTCCCAGGTTCACACTCTGGCCCTGCCACCTACTCGCAAGAACCGCTACCTCCCTGAGCCTCAGTTTCCTCATCTGAAAATGGGGTCGGTGAGACCAATAGTAATTAACATTTGTGCTCTTCTTATGTACCCCGTGGCCTGGTTCGTGGAATCCTCATCACCACCCTCGGAGCGTAGGTGCGACATCCCAATGGTCGTGTCCGCCTTCCAGGGCTGCTGTTTCTTCAGTCCAAAACTACCTCCAGGCGTCCACTCTGAGCCAGGCCTGGGGCACCTTGCTGCGTATCCCGTGATGGGCAAGATAGATGTGGTTTCCACTCTCAACAGAGCTGAATTCCAGCCCCAGGGGAAGGCAGAGCGTTACCCAGGCATCCACACCGCAGCGCCCTGAAGCACAGTGGGCCCTGACCGCTGGGGGCACATCCACCCCCACCCAGAGCAGGTCAGCCAAGGCTGTTCACGGAAGCCGAGGCCTGAGAGCCTGGAGGCTGGGCCAGGGGTGGAGAGTCAGGCAGAGAGACCGGCCCACCCCATAGGTTGTCTGTGGCCGTGTCTGTCCAGCACCCAGCATGACCCAGACACACAGCGGGTGCTCAGCAAGGCCTCCCTGTGCCCTTCAGCCTCCTGAGACCAGGTCTGAATCCGTCAGATACACTGTCCCCACAGTCCCCGTGACTCTCTGAAGAACTTGGTGCCAAAGCGCCATTTATGTTTACCCAAAGGAGCCTGCCAGAAAATATGTGCGTCCCCTGCCCTCCGTGTCCAAGGCCAGCCTTGACAGAGGCTGCGGGGCTTCGCTGGAAAAAGAGGCAGCGTGTCTGTCGTGGGGCGTGTCGGCCTTTAGGTGGCAGAATAAAGCAGGGTTTGTGGGCAGGACTCTGCTGGCTTCTCCCACCTCACCTTCGTGTTGGTCCCCACCTGCCCAGCCTCTGGGCCGCTCCAGGTGGGCCACGAGCCTCAGCCGGGGGCTGGGATGACTGACAGGCCTCCACTGCCCATCCTCTGCAGCCCCTCCCCCTCCCGGGAGGCTGGCCGTGGAGCCGGCAGCCCAGTTTCCGTGGCCTGCTCGGAGAGGCGCCAGGAGAGGGAGCGGAGCTGCCGGGGAGAGTGCCGAGGAGACGTGCAGATTCATTTTGAGGCTTCATAATGCCGCATTTACACACCGTCCTGCCTCCAGAAATTGGGCTGGCAGATGCCTGGTCATGCCGGCAGGGCTGCGGGTTAACTCCGCAGATTTAGCTTAGATCATTTCACGAGAGCTTACGGCCTTTACTGTGCCTTTTGCCCAGTCGATCTCTGGCCCCGAGGCACCCTGCACCATCGTGTGTAGGTGCGTGTGCCCGGGTGCCCACAAGTGTGTGTAGATTTTCAGATAAAATAATACCTCTTTGCAGATGCCGCGCACATTAAATATTTATCAGCAGCAATTTGTGCGTGTATGTTTGAGAGATGGACCTGAGGAAGGGCTGGGGGCGGGGGAGTGAGAGAGGAAAGCAAGGGAGGCCCGATCCTTTTGTCCGGGAATTTCTGAAAGGTTTATCCAGGGGGAGAGGGGGCATTGGGGAGATGGTTGGAGGCCGTGTTTACCTGTTTGATCCCTGTTGGATGGGGGGGGGGGGAACACCTGACTTTTCTCCTCCAGAGTCAGCTTTGCCTGACTTTGGCTTCGCAGATATCAAAACCCTGAGGCAGGAGTGGGGTTTAGAGGGCGTGGCTGTGTGGCATTCAAGTGCCAAGCGCTGAAGAACCATCCCAGGTCCCAGATCTGGGAGAAGGGACTCACCCCGTTTACTCAGTCAGATTCCTGGGGGTCCGTGGGGAGTCCGTGCTAACCCCGAGTCCGGGGCCCTGGCCTGGCCAGTGCCTCCCCAGCCCAGCCATGCGTGCATGGGGCTGCATCCCCCTTGCCGAATATTCATTCACCCCAGCCCCTCACCCCTGGGAGGAACGGCATCCCCAGTCTGATGGTTCCCTCCCTGCTGGCGTGATGGCCAGGCCGGAGGGAGAAGGCCACCCAGGCCCCCAGGACACGTGCTGGCCAGTGGGGAGCTGACACTGACACGAGTGTTCGTGCACGTGGCTGTGCACACGTACCCCCCTCGTGCATCTGCGGGCACTCCTCTCTTCTAACTGGAAAGGGTTAGCGGGTGAGAATTGGTCCTGCCTCCCCCCGCCCCCTTTGCAGGCCTCGATTCTGAAACTCCCGCGTTTTTATTCCCAGCACCTTCGGGGAGCTGAAGACAGTCCGCTTGCCAAAGAAGATGACGGGGATGGGCTCGCACAGAGGGTTCGGCTTCGTCGACTTCCTCACCAAGCAGGACGCGAAGGTGAGACCAGGGCCCCTCCCTCCCGGCCTCTCCTTTCTGGGTCCTTTGTGGGAGAAGCAGCAAGGCCTCTTCACAGACATGGGTGCGGCCCCCACTCCCCATTCGGATTTTCTCTCCCCTCCTCTCCCCAGCCCTGCTAATTTGCACAATGTCCTTGGAAGAAAAGACCATGGGCCTTGTGTTTGGAGGAAGGGGCAGTTCTGTGTCCCGGGCCGCTCCAAGTCAGACAGAAAGCGTGGGAGATGCCGTGCAGAGTGTGGAGAGGAACCAGGGGACAGCGCTCAGAGAAGAGGCCGCCAGGCACCCCAGTGGGAACCTGCGGGAACAGCTCTTTCCCCTCTTCTTCTGCTGGTGCCTGGGGCTTCTGTTTTGTGCTGATTTCAGGTGCACTCAGGCCAGGCAAGTGCTGCTGTGTGTAAGCACATGTACGGAATTCCTTGGAGACAGAACCACCTTTTATTTTTGAAGCAAGGCAGCCTCTCTGGGTGTGGGCTTGGTGCAGTAGGTCCTGGGTCCTCGTCCTCCGCGGCAGCAGACCAGGGGCAGAGGCTGTGTGACCAGGGTTCTGGCTGCGACCATGGTTGCTGCTCTCACAGTCCCAGGTCAGGATCCTGGGGGGAGGGGGCCATGGCGCTGTCTTCGTGGGCTCCCTCCGAGAGCCTGTGCCACAGGCAGCCTTCCCCCGTCCTGGCCTGTCTTCCCTTGAGGGTGCAGTAAAGCAAGGGGCACGTGTCACTAATGGCTGGGATCCCCTCCGCCTCTGAGGAGGCATCTTCAGAAAAGCAGAGTATTTGTTGGACTCACACTCTTGGCCAGCAGCAAATTGGCGCTGCCAGAGGCCCTGTGGGTGGAGCTGAAGGTGTCATCTCAGGGACACAGCTGCGGCCTTTGTGGGCCCTGGGAACACGCACAGGCAGAGAGGGTGCCCCAGGACTTCAGCAGGCCTGCCAGCCACCTTTGTCTCAGCGTCTTGAACTCAAGTGCACGCTTTGTTTACACGTGGCCATGTTTGTCCAGACATCTGCGCCTCTTTCTTCTCGGCTGGCAGTCTTCCCCTCGCCTCCTGTCGTGACAGGAGGGACCGCAACCCCTGCGTGCAGCCGGTCCATGGCCTTGACGCTCACCAGCAAGGCAGGCACCTGCGGGGTCCCCCCGCCACTGGCTCAGAGAGAAGCCAGGGAACAGCCGTCCAGAGCACTGCACTTACTGCTGGCTGCTTGGCTTCCCCAGCCCTGCCCTGTGCCTCAGTCTCCTCATCTGTAAAATGGGAATGATGACAGGTCCCACGCCCACAGGGTGAAGGCAGATGGTGACACGGGTCCTGGCACACGGTGCTCGAGATGAGTGAGCTGTTTCCTCCTCGTTCCCACCAGCCCAGGTCCCTTCAGAGCCACCAGCCCTCCATCTGTGGACAGGGAAGAGAGGGGTACAGGCAGTGCTTTCTCCACTGCGTCCGTCTAGCCCTGAGCTTCTGAGTGTGTAGGACCATTGTCATCTGTTTTATGTCAGGGTTCCTGTGTGAGACTGCGATTACGGGAGAGATGAAGGGGGATTTACTCCCTGCCCCAAGAAAAATCTCTTATTTAGGGCCAGTGCGAGGGCTAGCTGTTAGAGCACAGACCCTGCTGCCAGAATCCTAGCACTCACCTGCTGTGTGACCTTGGGCAGGTGACTTACTTTCTACGTGCCTCAGTTTCCCCCCTTATAAAACGGTAATAGAATTTCCCTCACCGAGTCGTTGCGAGGCTGGGATGAGGCGGATGGTGATGGTGGTGATCTAAGAAGAAGGGAAGGAGCAGAGAGAAAAGTTGTCCACGCCCTCCAACTAGAAGCTTCTTCCACGCGGCGGCCTCCCTCCAGAGCTTGAAGTCAGAATTAACGTGGCTCTCGGGACCCAGAGGGCTAGACCAGGCATGGACTGCCAGCCTTGAATTTCCACGCTCCCATCGCCAGGATGCAGTCAATATAGCTTTGTTCCCTGGGGTCATGGGGACGGGGGGTGGGGGGGAGATGCTCAGGTAGCCGGGCAGTGCCAGTGCCCGCTTGGCTAGCGCCTGGCGCCGGAGGCCAGGCTGCAAATGTTCTTTGCAGAGCCTAGCACAGCCTTCTGCTGACTTATGGAGGTGGCTCCTCCCCCTCTGTCCCTTCCATCCTGGGCTCCAGGAAGAGAAAGGGCAGCCGAGAACGGTAAGGGCTCAACCCACACTCCCTCCAGGACTGGCTCTTGCGGCCCCTTACCTCCGACAGGCGGCAGCCTGGCTCCGGAGCTGTCCCGGCCCCGCCATTCCCACCTCTCACCGCACCAGGACGGGCCCTCTGTGCCGCCGCTGAGCGAGCTGATCTCCCATGAAGTCTGAGCCCACCAGGAGCGCACCTCTCCCGCAAAGATCCCTTTGCTCTTTTTGCTTCCCGGAGAAGCTGCTGTGACTTTTCCTTCTCCTTCTCCCTGTCTGTCTGAAGAACTTTATTGTCCCCCGAGTGGAACATTTAGCGCTCTCCACTGCGCCATAGAGCCATGCGCGCTGCATGTTGGTGAATAGAATTCTGAATATTGTAAATATCTGGCTAGCTCGAGGGCAGGCGTGAGTTTGAAGAGGGAAAGCAATGCTGGAAGGAGACATTGAGTTAGAAACCCCCAGAGACCCTTTTTTCATTTCGAAAGAAGGAACTCGTGGGAATCCCAGGGCTGGTAGGGGAACTTCCAGGACCCCCAGTTTCTCAGGACAAGCGCCGCCCACCACCCCACCACCACCCCTAGTGGTTCTCCCTTTGAAGCGCTTCAGGGAAGGAGACCTGCTTTAGAAATCCTTCCCGGGGCTTGACTGAACCCTGACCACTCGGCTCCCTCACCGAGGGCTTCACCCTCCTTTCCTGCTGTGGGGCGTCCCCCAGGAAGATAGTGGTCAGTAACTCTTGTGACGTCAGCAGCACTGGAACCTGGAGGTGTAAGCCTCCTGTGTCCCGGGGCGCCAGGCGGTCCTCAGAGGGGAAAAGAGGAGACAGGGAGGAAAAGATGAGGGGAGCGGACACATTGGGGGAGGAGGCAGGGAGGGAGTAGAGGCCGATTGTAGAACCTTGGGTCTGGAAAGCAGTGGAGAAACTAGCAGTTTCCAGGCTGGGCTGTGAACCCGGGGATGTGACTCACAGCACAGCGCTCTTTTCCTGGGCACCAACCAGTCCACTTTGCCAGCTGGCTGAGGAGAGAATTAGGCACCCTGGTTGGTCCCTGGAGGCATCCACTCAGCACCCCCATCTCTTTTTGGGCCCCAAGCACGGGTCATCTGAGTCCTTCCCGCCCCCAGGGACCCTGAGTCTTCCAACCTTGCTCCATGACCCCGAGTTCCACCCCGCACATCCTCGGGAACTCCATCATCCGTCAGGCCCCTCTGGGTCAAGCACACGCCCCAAACAGGGAAGAGAATCCTAGCGCAAGGCGCCATGAAGAGCTCAGGGTAACCAGGCAACTGATGACGATAGCCAGAGGCGCCCGCGACCGGCCGAGCTGGCTTTGTGTGTGACATGTACACCGTACACGCATTGTCTCGTCCCAACCTGCAGCAGCCCCGGACTCAGCTGGAGATTTGCATAACTCCCTCCCCGGTTTCTCCAGGCGCTTGTTAAGCTCCGTGTGTGCAGGGTCCTGGGAACCAATGGGAAGCCAGGACCTGACTCTGTTGCTGAGATGCTAAACCAGGGGTGGGACCTGGCCGTCAGTCCCTGTCACAGGCTCCGTGAGCTGGCATGTTCGCCCAACCTAGGGCATTTCATCAGCCCCCGATGTCCCAGGCATGAATGTCAGTCCCTCTGAAAGCGCTGCTGTTATTATTATCTAAACTTCCAAGTGTGATGAGCCCACATTTCTCAAAGGACCTTCTCCCACGTGCTGGAGGGAAGCAGGGACAAAGGTCGATGAGAGCAGACAGGAAGTCCCAAATAAGGTGGTCTTCCCCGATGGCCTGGGTCTGCGCTTGTGTGTAGGGATGTTTGTAGTGTCTCAGGTGCCACGTGTTTCTCTGGGTCCTGATGATGTTTCTGGAAGGGCAGCCTCTTGGCATCAGTAAAAAACCATCAACTTCTAAAAGCCCGTCTTTGGCAGGGACGGCACTGGGCATTTTACGCATCAGTGGTAGGAAGCCATTTGACAGATGGGTAAACTGAGGTTCGAAGGGATGGCGCCACTTGCCAGAGCTGGGAAACCCCGCGTGTCGATCTGATTCCAAAGTCCACGGATTAGCACTTCCGCCCTTCATTCACGTATTCACTTAAATTGAGTGCCAGCTGCGGCCAAACCGTGCGCCAGCCCCCTCCTCTCTACACCACAGCCCTCACCTCTCACCCATCCCCAGCAACTCACCAATTAGACATTTGGAGGAAGGCCAAGAGGTTGGCCCTTAAAACATCTCTTGGGAACAAGCCCAGGATGAAATCAGCTCCTCCGGGGCCCCCAGAGGAGGGGTGGGCATTCCTTTAGGGGCCTCCAGAGCCACACACTGTCTCCTGCCAACCCTCCCAAGCCTTGGAGGCAGCAGCTTTCTACCTGGACAGGTGACCTGGGATTCCCAACCAGCTGTGCCCGTGCCCATTGGCCAAGAGGCCACCAATAGTCATTGGGATTCCGTTTAGAAGCCACCACCTCCTCTGCCTTTACTTGGACTGGCTGGTCACGGAGGAAGAAGGGAAAGAAAGCAAAGAGCAGACTTGCAGCCCGGAAACCAGAACATTCTTTTTTTTCCCCCATGCATGCGCCTTTAATTTCTCCCTTCCCGGAGCCCACCGAGCCTTTGTACTTTTGCAGTTGCGGCTGTTTTTATTTGCCGCCGCTGCTGTTGTTTTAAAAGGTCTGTTTTCACATGGAATGTTATCCAATTAGCAGAGCAATGTGTTGGCTTAAATAAACACTTGGGGGGAGCCGGCAGTAGGGAGATGGGATGGCGGTCGGCGTTGGCAGGCAGCGCTCTTCTCTTCTCACTGGTAAACAACCGCAGCTTTAATTGGGGAAT